TTACATGAAAATATGTTTTCAATTATATCAAAGAAATATTCGTCATTTCCTTAGGAAAAAATTCTATATCGAAGGAAATTTTGGTGATTATATGAAATAAAAGAATAGCAATTATTATTTAATAAAACTGTTTTAATTTTTATGAAACAAAGTTTCATCATTAATTCCATGATAGAAATATTCGTGGAATTTGTGAAATTTTTTCTTTGTGATTACATCAGGAAGACGTGACTATTCCCCCCCTAAAAAAAAACAATTATTACGTCGATACATTTTATTAGATTAATAAAAACAGAAAAAATAGTGAGGGGAAGGAAGAAAATTTAATTTTAAAGAATATAAGTGATTGTGATATAAAAATGCTCATAACGAATTAAAATCAATATTTAGGTATCTGAATAAAAGCAGCTTTGAGGATCATTAAAGGAAATCTTATATTTGTTTTATGAAAAATAATTTCTTTATTTTAATAAAGTAATATTCTGATAATGCCACCTGTTTGTGATATATTACAGCGAAGATATTTGTGAACATTTCAAAGACATATTTAAGCTTTATATCTAAGAAATGTTAAAGATTCTTTAATAAATTATATCAAGAAAGGTTCGTGTTTACATGTCAAATTCATCTTGATTATATCAAGAAAGGTTCGTGTTTACATATCAAATTCATCTTGATTATATGAAGAAAGGTTCGTGTTTACATGTCAAATTCATTTTGATTATATGAAGAAAGGTTCGTGTTTACATGTCAAATTCATTTTGATTATATCAAGAAAGGTTCATGTTTAAATGTCAAATTCATTTTGATTATATCAAGAAAGGTTCATGTTTACATGTCAAATTCATTTTGATTATATCAAGAAAGGTTCAGTTTACATATTAAATTCATCTTGATTATATCAAGAAAGGTTCGTATTTACATATTAAATTCATCTTGATTATATTTTGTGTTTATATATCAACGCTGGAACCACCTGTAACGCTACTGAACTAACAGTCCTTCCATATCCAGAAGTAACCAGTTTTCCACTAATATATGGATTTTAACACAACCATTTCTGTGTTGTTTACGAGAAACTACTGGAAAGGTAATGTTTTTGATGTTATTTATATCTTCAGAAATACCCTATGATATCCCATCAACCATATTAATTATTGCTGATGAAATTCGCCGGTTACATGAGCCGTAAAGACAAAATACAAACCTATCCTTTTCATGATACTAAGCTTCCCTAGAGATATCTATTCATACTATTAAGATTTTATATAGGTTACTATAGAAACAGAAAAAGGAAATATCGTCTGTACGAGCTCTTCCTTAGGTGTAGCAAAGATATGAACTTGTTAAATATTGTGTGCTTTATATATATATATATATCACTTAGAATTTCCAAAACGTGAACTATAAATGCAGAAAGTTTTCATTAAGCTTTAAGTATTGATTATTTGCCGAAAACAACTATTATTTATTTTAGACATAATCACAGAGAACATAATAAAGTTAAGGAATTTATTAACTCATCTCTTTAACGTTTTATAGTTTTAATTGAGAAAAGGAAAATACTCACTCGCGCTTCAATTCGATTTTAATACCGTCACGCATAGAATTTCCTGAATCGCAACGTTGAATTAGGAAGAGATCAAATGTTGAGCGATCAATATTTTCAGATGCAAAAGTCTGCTTATATCAGAATTATTTTGGAAAAGGCCACTCATTTACGTTTAGTTCAGACTTAAGCTGATTATAGTTAGTGAGCAGTTCGTTAACTCAACAGTCTGTGGTACTGTTTGAAAGTTTCGTGTGGTGCCTTCACAAGTTGATTAACTCAACAGTTTGTAGTACTGTTCGAAAGTTTCGTGTGGTGACTTCACAAGTTTATTAACTGAAGAGTTTGTAGCACTGTTCGAAAGGTTCATGTTTGACTTCACAAGTTGATTAACTCAACAGTTTGTATCACTATTCGAAAGGTTCATGTTATGACTTCACAAGTTGATTAACTCAACAGTTTGGAGCACTGTTTGAAAGTTTATTAACTGAAGAGTTTGTAGCACTGTTAGAAAGATTCGTGTGGTGACTTCACAAGTTTATTAACTGAAGAGTTTGTAGCACTGTTCGAAAGGTTCATGATATCACTTCACAAGTTGATTAACTCAACAGTTTGGAGCACTGTTTGAAAGTTTATTAACTGAAGAGTTTGTAGCACTGTTCGAAAGGTTCATGTTTAGCCAAGTTTCTATGTTTGAAGTTCCCACATCTTCCTCTATACGTTTATTTAGCCAAATGTTTGGTTTGAAGTACACCCACACTTACCTCCATTTAACATTGGTATATGGTTGCATTTTATTTGTGCTAGAAGTAGGTTCACCTCAACTTAACGCGTTTGTGTTTGAAGTAGATTCACCTCAAGTTAAGCTGTGGTTGAGGAATGTTTGTCTCTTGAAGTTGATGTACCTCCATTTGATCGTTGATTTAGCTACGTTTTCGTGTTTGAAGTAGATTCACCTCAAGTTAAGCTGTGGTTGAGGAATGTTTGTCTCTTGAAGTTGATGTACCTCCATTTGGTTTTTGGTTTAGCTACGTTTTCGTGTTTGAAGTAGATTCACCTCAAGTTAAGCTGTGGTTGAGGAATGTTTGTCTCTTGAAGTTGATGTACCTCCATTTGATCGTTGGTTTAGCTACGTATTCGTGTTTGAAGTAGATTCACCTTATCCCACAACGACCTTGAACCCTACCAGTGTTTACTGTCCATAGCCGGTTATGGTCATGATAGTTACCCTTAGATACATAAAAATATAATAAATCAATTACCCTCGATTTCTATTATATCAACTTCAAGAAACAAACGTACCTCAACTATAGCTTGAGGTGGGTCTACTTCAATCACAAAAACGTAGCTAAACCAACGTTCAAATGGAGGTACATCAACTCCAAGAGACAAACGTACCTCAACTATAGCTTGAGGTGGGTCTACTTCAATCACAAAAACATAGCTAAACCAACGTTCAAATGGAGGTACATCAACTTCAAGAGACAAACATTCCTCAACCACAGCTTAACTTGAAGTGGGTCTACTTCAAACACGAAAACGTAGCTAAACCAACGTTCAAATGGGGGTACATCAACTCCAAGAGACAAACGTACCTCAACTATAGCTTGAGGTGGGTCTACTTCAATCACAAAAACATAGCTAAACCAACGTTCAAATGGAGGTACATCAACTTCAAGAGACAAACGTACCTCAACTATAGCTTGAGGTGGGTCTACTTCAAACACGAAAACGTAGCTAAACCAACGTTCAAATGGAGGTACATCAACTTCAAGAGACAAACATTCCTCAACCACAGCTTAACTTGAGGTGAATCTACTTCAAACACGAAAACGTAGCTAAACCAACGTTCAAATGGAGGTACATCAACTTCAAAAGACAAACATTCCTCAACCACAGCTTAACATCTAGCACACAGATTCTAACTCCTTATTGAATCTGTAGTTTGTTTTCCAGTTTTGCATTTGTTGTTTTAGGTATGTCTAGTAGACGGAATATCCCCAATGCTTTTGGTTCCTATGGCCTCAGACATTTTTACTATACTCTTGTATAAATGGGATACTTTTACATTGCGTGTTACAGTTTGTTTGGCACGATCATGTATTTGTTGGCGCGTACATCTATAATAAAAATGTTGTGTTTTTACATAATTAACTTGTCAGGGATTATGCAATGCTTATGCATCTTGGATATAATATAGATAGCTGTGAAATATATTCATATATATGTATAATGTTGTATTCTTGTATTGCACAAGTCAAGTCTGGATATATATGTATAGTTGGTTTTGTTGTCTTCATTCGTTAGTAGTTTTCCTTAAAATATGAACAATTTAAAAGTCAGTAATTTTAGTCTAATGACCTAACTTTAGTCTCATGATCTTTACAGTTCAGCATTCGAAAGCTTGTTAGAAAAAAACAACAAACTATTAACGCGAAGGAGCCTGTATTTACCTATTTTGTTGACATAGTGATTTCTTGGAAAGTTTTATTCGTTTATTTTATAATTAGTCAAAGTAAATATTTCTTTTAACCACATGTGTTTTGTTAAGCGTTGAATTAATAGGTCTGTGTTCAGTATTAAAAGATCATATCTTCATGAAAAAATGTGATTGGATATATTTAGACATCTTGCTGTTATAAACACTAGCGAATGTTTTTTACTTGGTTTTGGCATTTGCTGCCATCGAGAAATATTTTTAATAATGTAAGGAACTTTAACAATTTATGTTAATGTTTCATTACAAAGCACCTTGTCAGTTGAAGTTGTCAAACACACACACACATTATGACCCCAAAAACGTATGTAAAGTAATTTGAAAACATGATCTGATTTGCATCATTCATGTATATCGCTCTAAAAATTCGACTTACGTATAGTTTTCAGATAACAGACTGGTCTATTGCTTGATCGAAACATGAAACACTCAGATTCAGTGCTACAAAATGGCTGTACCCGTCGTGGGCACAGCATAGATAGCCCATTGTGTAACTTTATGCTTAACTACAAACGAATAGAATGGTTGAAGATAATAAGAACTCCATTCACTTTTAACTTAGTTATTTCTCAACTTCTGCCAAAATTGGTTCCATAAGCTATTAGCAAGTGTGACACTAGAGTAAAAGAACTTTCTTGAGTGATCTATGGTTTGTGTATCAAAATATAGTCGAGTTTAGTCCTAGTGAAGCTGAAGGGAAGATTTTTTTTCTAGGCTTGTGTTCATTTAGAAACCAGTGAAGTCTTTCACTGCTCTCAATCCTCTGAGGATTTGAAAATAAGTAAAGTATAGTTTCAGGCAGAGCTGAAGGTACTTTGTTTGTAGCTCCATCAGTGTGAACTATAAATGATTTAGTCATGCTTTAATAGCTCCGTCAATGTGAACTATAACTGATTTAGTCATGCTTTAGTAGCTCCATCAGTGTGAACTATAAATGATTTAGTCATGCTTTATTAGCTCCGTCAATGTGAACTATAAATGATTTAGTCATGCTTTAGTAGCTCCATCAGTGTGAACTATAAATGATTTAGTCATGCTTTAGTAGCTCCATCAGTGTGAACTATAAATGATTTAGTCATACTTTAGTAGCTCCATCAGTGTGAACTATAAATGATTTAGTCATACTTTAGTAGCTCCGTCAATGTGAAATATAAATGATTTAGTCATGCTTTAGTAGCTCCGCTACTGTGAGCTGTAAATGATTTATTCATGCTTTAGTAGCTCCGTTAATGTGAACTATAAATGATTTAGCCATGCTTTAGTAGCTCCATCAATGTGAACTATAAATGATTTAGTCATACTTTAGTAGCTCCGTCAGTGTGAACTATAAATGATTTAGTCATGCTTTAGTAGCTCCGTCAATGTGAACTATAAATGATTTAGTCATGCTTTAGTAGCTCCATCAGTGTGAACTATAAATGATTTATTCATACTTTAGTAGCTCTATCAGTGTGAACTATAAATGATTTATTCATACTTTAGTAGCTCCATCAGTGTGAACTATAAATGATTTAGTCATGCTTTAGTAAGTCATGCTTTAGCAGCTTCATCAATGTGAGCTGTAAGTGACTTAGTCATGCTTTAGCAGCTCCATCAATGTGAGCTGTAAATTAATACTGTTTTTCTCTTTTGTTGATTCATTTTTCTTAGTCAACCATGTTAACTCCTTCAGGTGATCCTGACAGTGTGAGCTGTAAGCGAAGTCTGTTTATTTGTTTTGTTGGTTCAATTATAATGGTCAGCCATGTTAACTCCTTCAGGTAATCCTGACAGTGTGAGCTGTAAGCGAAGTCCGTTTATTTGTTTTGCTGGTTCGATTCTCTGGGTCAGCCATGTTAACACCATAAGTGAGCTGTAAACGAAGGCTGTTTCTTTGTTTTGTTGGTTCACTTTCTTTGGTCAGCCATGTTAACTCCATAAGTGAGCTGTAAACGAAGGCTGTTTATTTGTTTTGTTGGTTCACTTTCCTTGGTCAGTCATGTTAACTCCATAAGTGAGCTGTAAACGAAGGCTGTTTGTTTGTTTTGTTGGTTCACTTTCTTTGGTCAGCCATGTTAACTCCATAAGTGAGCTGTAAACGAAGGCTGTTTCTTTGTTTTGTTGGTTCAGTTTCCTTGGTCAGCCATGTTAACTCCATAAGTGAGCTGTAAACGAAGGCTGTTTCTTTTTTTTGGTTCAGTTTTGTTGGTCAGCCATGTTAACTCGATAAGTGAGCTGTAAACGAAGGCTGTTTATTTGGTTCAGTTTTCTTGGTAAGCCATATTAACTCCATGTGAGGTACATTGATTTAATTCACATTTTCTTTCGACACCATATAAGTGACGAGAATAACTTTATTATGACAGATTTGGGTTGTGAGGTACATTGATGTTAATTCACATTTTCTTTCGTCACCATATAAGTCACGAGAATAACTTTATTATGAAGGATTTGGGTTGTGAGGTACATTGATGTTAATTCACATTTTCTTTCGTCACCATATAAGTGACGAGAATAGCTTTATTATGACAGATTTGGGTTGTGAGGTACATTGATGTTAATTCACATTTTCTTTCGTCACCACATAAGTGACGAGAATAATTTTATCATGAAGGATTTGGGTTGTGAGGTACATTGATGTTAATTCACATTTTCACTAAAACACTCTAAACGTGGATTAAAGTTAACTACGAAGGACGGTACTCAAACATTTTAAACGTGGTTAAAAATAATGAACGAAAATAACTTTATCTCGAAATGAACAATAAAAGTTATCTATTTTTTAAACTATGATTAAAAGAGTTTGTATAATCTATAGACGTATTTATACACAATATTTTGTTTGTAACACCTTATCGTTTAAATAAACATTGAAAGTACGCCGTGATTAAATCTTTCCTGTAGTTATACATAATAGTACATATTCATAATACGTTGTAGCAGTTATATGTATATATGATGCAGTCAACTAGCTATATTTGAGAACGCTGTACCAGCATTTAGATGCTGCGACACACAACGTACATTGTAGCAACATTTGCTTAACCTATAATAGTACATATTTTAATTTTATGTAGTATAATTTTCGAGCAACAGTTAATTGTGAAAGTACGAAATTAAAGTGTTTTGTAACAGTATTTGTGTAACAATTAATTACAAAGTTATATCATATGAGTAAGTTGGAGCGTCAGTTGGATTACAATTAACTGCTTCGGTGTACAATTAGATTAGCTGTATTAATACGCAGTATTCTCTAACAGTATCTGTGTTATAATTACTTAGATCGGTACATATTAAAATAGGCTAAAATAGAATAATTATTATTGTTGTAACATTATTACGTGTTATTCCTAAACTTAATGCTTTTTCAGTTCAGACATATTACCTTAAAAGTCCTTATGTTACACGTAAACGTATATTAATAAGCCTTTTGAGTATGATGTAGCAGCATTTATGTTAGAACTTCATGTATTACAATACATCTTCAGTACTCTATGACAACATTTTTGCTACAATGAGTTGTATCATGCAGTGACATCTTGATTAAACTGTAGAATACATTGTGGCACATTTGACAGTATTAGTACATAATATACAACAGAACAAGAGTACAAGCACGAGTTGTATTTATTTTCACAATACTGTTCGCAAGACATTTAGAATAAGGAATAGATTAAAAAAGTTAGGGCACGCTGATCGATCACTCTGTTACTGTGTTATGTCCTAGAAGGAGTAAACCTGGCCTGTTAGAAACAAGAAAGGGTTAGTGTAAGTGAATCTTGAACCTGCTTCGTCACAACCAAGCTGATAAAGGTAACTCAGCTGATTGTTCTCTTTAGTAAAACCGAGTAATGTTGGTTTAATTATTAAGGTTTCTCTGATACAGACCAGAAGAATTAACAGATTTATTTGTAAAGGTTTCTATGATACAGACCAGAAGAATTAACAGCTTTAATTGTTAAGGTTTCTCTGATACAGATCAGAAGAATTAACGGATTTAATTGTAAAGGTTCCTCTGATACAGATCAGAAGAATTAACATATTTAATTGTAAAGGTTTCTCTGATACAGACTAGAAGAATTAACAGATTTAATTGTTAAGGTTTCTCTGATAAAGCTCTGATGAATTAACCAACTCTTCAGTTAGCTTTATTTGAAAAATGGTTAACTTCATTGGCTGTTCATTTTGTTAGCTCTGAGAAGGGTTATCTGACTTTGCTACTCACTCTGCTAGAAATGGAAGGTTAACATTATATACTCACCACCATGCTACAAATAATGAAGGTTAACTTGATTTTAAAGGTTTATCTGCTACAGCTGGAAAGTGTTAATTTACTTCACTGAATGATCTGATACAACCAAAAAAGGTTAATGTAAACTTATTGGTTAGCTTTTTCGAGTGTGGGACTTGTAACGGGTAAAATTTAGTATAAAGAAAGGGAAGGACATTATGTTCAGGAACAACAACAGCAGACAGGAGAGGAGAAACAAGAATTTCATAGTGGTCCCCAGTGCCCGGGACGTAAGTCCCATCAACAGGTTATTGAAACACCCAACCACAGAGGTGGTAATGAAAACAGGAATATAAGTAAGAGAGATGGTAAAGGACAGAAGACAGAAAAACACAACAGACAACAGCGTAGTATACTGCATTCTATATGGGGGTGCAGTAAAGTCTACATAGCAGCAGGGGCCTGACAACAAGAGTAAGTGAACACAAAGCAGATGTCAGAAGACAAAACACAACCAACGCGATAACAGCACATGCAGAGAAAGCAGGGTACTTGCCCAAATAGAAGGAAACTAAAACCATCAGCAAAATAATGTAAAAATGACAGAGGAAACCAATGGAGCCTGCTTACATCTTACTAACAAATAACTTAAACATTATAGCGGGAATCTACAAATGAGTGGAAGCGGTAGCGAGCCTGGTAAAACGAGCACAGAACGCTGATTGGTCGGGTGGTAGTCGGTAGCCGGCGATAGTGGACCAATCAGGATGCGGCAAGAAGAATTGACTGGGAACTTAATCCGGGAAAACCTGTATAGATACCCTTGTAAGGCACCCTCCACGTTTATGAAAGTTGTCACAACTTCAAAACATACAGCAGATCTCATCCTCACCCACGGCGGCTTCCTTGATTATCATCACTTCAAGGCAGAAAAACCTTATCGCAAGCCTCACCCACCCCATACCTTTCCTAACCAAATCTCCATGCCCACGTTTCACAACACCCAGAAGAAAACCACCGCCAACCAGTACTCTACCGTCCATCCAAATACAACAGACCAAGCTACTCAAACCTCACCCACTCCTGTTACACAAGATATGTCTACTCAAACCACCACTACAAGGAGGAAAAAAGGCACCCAGACCCAGCCACCATTTACCATTGACGCCTATCAACAGATCAACAACACGCCTCCCAGCCCCAAGCCACTGTCTTCATCATCATCATCGGCGTCTAACCCACCGAACGCATTAGTAATCGACACCTCCCCCGATCTCTAACTATCCGACGAACCTTTCTCAGTCTTCCGCTCTCTCACCTAAGACACTGAGAACACCACGCCTTTACCACCTGCCCGGAACCAGAAACTATGCCAATTCAAATCCATGATAAACTCCAGGAGACTACACAACAATTTCAAAAACTAATCAACCCCCAGCACCGGTCTTCACTTTGCCTTCCCTACTTACTTCTTCTCATTAATCGGGCACTGGTAACGAATCAGTCGTTACCAGTGAAATTGGGTTTTCTCGGGGTACTCCCGTTTCCCCCACATTAAATTCTCGGCATAGGGTTTTTAGATCCCCGCCGCCCTGATGGACCATCTGTCCGAGATCGGCCGTTTAGTTTACTTTGCTCTTCACTTTTTACTGTCTACAATTACTCTCTCTTTATCTTTTTAAAATTACATACCTAGTCCGCTATTAATTTCCTATTTTCTCAAGTTAAGCCCATATTTCTAGACCACGAACGGGGTGAAGGAGGATTGTTTAATCTTCAAGCACCCCAGATTAATAATTATTTCTTCGGAAATAATTATTTTAAATCTAAATAACTGCCAGGGAAAAAAAAATGTGTCATGTATGGCTCATTAAAACGATGACCTCTCATCAAACCTCTAACCACGAGAAGGGTGACGGAGGATTGCTACTCTTCGA